GAAGAGTTTACATTCGTTTTTAAATGTAAAAAGTGATCTCAGAAGAAATGGGATGACAACTCAAAAAAATGAGCTAACAGTCCGTTTTTTCTGAGGAATAAAGCCTAGAAATAAATAGGCGGTAGGTTGGAAAAACAGTCGGGCATTTCGTTTTGTCTGGGAAAAAAACTCAGAAATAAACGGGCAGTAGCTCGAAACAATGGGGGACAATCCGTTTTTTCTCAATAGTTCGGGAATAAACGGATGGATAGCTCGAAAAAATTGGCAAGCAGTCCGTTTTTTTTAACAGTTCGGAATGAGCGAAAAATCGCGACCGTTCGAAAAAAAAAACTTATGATTTCTTTGCATCTTTTGACTTTTGGAGTGTTAATAAACACCCCTAAACATCCTAATATGAAAGAGAATAGATCTAAATCATTTTTGAGAGATTTGAGAGCACTTTTGTGGTTGTTCTTGCAAAACACTCACAAAAGCCTTTTGTACATCTTCTTCTTGCGGTTTCTTGTGTTTCTGTGATTAGTAGAGCAAACTAAGATCATTCCTCTCTTCATTGTATCTCAGAAACATATTCCAGAAAATCTTTTACTCGTATAGGATGGAATAACATTTTTAGAAAAGTGCATGCACACCTTGAAGAGTTATCCGGTTCCACATTTACTTTTCTTGATCTTTTTATATCCCATACTTCTAAGAGTTTGTTGTCTATAATCTATTGGTTATTGTTGTTGATTGTGATCTACTTATCATTAATATTGTAATCCATAACACTAAATATTTTGTAATCAAATATCATAGGTTGAAATCTAAAATAATTTTAAAGTTTGAGGATGCCATATGGTAAAATAATTGAAATGATCGTGTAAATTATTTCTAATTTAGCAATTTAATTTATAATTTTGATCGATCTAATGAAATTATCCATGAAAATATATATGATAAAATAAAAAATATAAAGCATAAATAAGCTAATAATTCGAATTCTATACTAATACTATCCAACAAACTCCCAAATCAATACCTGAACTTTTTAAACTTTCATATAAATTCCTAAATTTTAAAAAATTTTCAAATACAACCAAATTCTATTAACGCCATTTAATTTATAACGGAATCTGATCACTTCGTCGATTAACGATGTCAACAAAAATTATTGTATTTGGAAAATTTTTTAAAATTTGGATATTTATATAGAAATTTTAAAAATTTTAGATATTGATTTGAGAATTTTACAGTTTAGGTATTTATTTGAAAATTTTGTAAAGATTACGTATATGCGAGTAACTAAAAAAAATGTCATTTATTTTAACGAGAAACGACCAAGATCATTCTGTCACATCATATTTCCAAGAAGCAATACAAAAAAAAAGTATTTCGACATAATCTATAGTGGGACCCACAGAAGGTACCACGTGTATCCCTAAGCGTCCCCCCCACCATTAAATTTAGCATAGCCGTGGCTTTAGGTGACAACTGTCACAGATGTCGTGGCGGAGACTTCAAAAGTTGCGTACGTGTCGTTTTTCAGACAAACACCTCCATTATTAGTTCCCAACTCTACAACTCATCCGTCGCCACTTGTCCGATTGCCTTTGAAAGCTTTCACAACGTTCCAAAATCATTAATATACTCATTAAAAAAAATTACTTAATAAAAATAAAATTCAGATGCCTGTCTTTGTTTTCACTTCTTCGCATGCGAATATCCGGATCGCCTCCATTATATATATATATATATAGAAGTTCAACGAATTATGAGAAGTTTACAGACTTTTCCCCCCATAATATTTACGTTTTATGATAAACACTAGTTATTAACCCGCGCGAATCGCGCGGAATAAAAATATGTACAGTTTTTAAATAATTTTATTTTAAATTTTAATTTTAGATATAATATATATCTTTTAAATTTTATAATTTATGTTATTAAATTAAAATAATTTTTTTAAAAAAAAATATTGAGGTAAAAAGATGACATGGGGATTTCTATCATACTATATTTCATATTATCCCTCATAAAAAAATTAATAATTGTTATGATATTCGTTAAATTCATTTCAAATTCATAAGTTATTTCAAAAATCAATAAAAAACTATTTATTATATATTAACGATATTTATGAATAATCAAAACATTAATGGTTACAATGTAAATTAAATATGTATTTAATATTTTTAAATAAATATTTTTTTATTAGTTTTATAATATTTATATAATTTTATACCTTTGTGGAAAAAGAAAATATTATCGATATCGGGATAATTAATAACAACAAAAATATTATTGATATTTAAAAATTAACTATTTTGAATATAATTTTTGTTGGGAAGTTGCATTATCTTTATAATTTTCTCTTTAATCTTAATTCGCTAACCAAATGAAGATAAATAAAATGATTAAATATACTTAGATATTATATAATTTATATTATAAAATAAATTTTATTATAATAATATTAATTCAGCAACCCTATAAAATTAATTCACTTCTAATTTGAATATGAGTTAGAGTCTTATTTAATTAGGTCTTTTCACTTAGTTTCACATGTATTTTGGTAAATTTATTTTTTTATTGTTATTATTATCTCCATTATTTATTTTACATGATCTTTCAAGATCCATCTTGAACTCTTCCTTTACATGATGAAAAAGTTGATTTAGTTTCTCATAATGACATATATATGATCACATGATCCTTTCATTTGTTCTATCACAACCCAAATAATTATATTATTTTTTACAATTTCATATTTGATTATTTTATGCTTAAAAAAATTAAAATTAAGCTTATATTATATATGTGTGATATATTTTTGTCATATATGAAATCAATCTAGTTCTAGTTTAAATAAATCTAAATTAGAATTCTATTTAGATAGATCTTTTCATTTAGTTTTGATCTTTATTTAGTTTGACCTGTCCTAAACTTCTCGATAATGTGATAATGATTTTGACTTAATTCTTCATAAGTGAAAGATTTATATATCATCATCTCGTCATTCATGTTAAAAAGTTAGAACCTCAACTAAAGTTTCATTTATCAAATTCAGACTTTAATAGAACTCGTTTTGGCCTACCTTTTATGTATGAACTTCAACATCTGATTCAATAAGTCTTTGAAAAACATTCAAAACAAAAATCTATGACACCTAAAGAGACCCTTACCTGACTAAAATGATATTTCATATTATCTCCCATCAAAACCGTAACAGTTTCTATAGTTTTCGTTAAATACATTTTAGATTCATAAGAGTTAACTCAAATATCAGTAGAAAAATTATTTATTAAGTTTTAACAATATTTTTTTTAAAATCGAAACGTTAATAATTACTATAGAATTTATATATTTATTTTCAAAATAAAATATAACATGCATTATAGAATTGTAATATTGCGTTCATTTTATAAAGAAAAAATGATCTAAATTGATACTTATTAGTAAATCTAAAAAAATAATAAAAGTTATAAACATGTTATATCATATTGAATTCGTCAACAACACGTTATATCATATTGGATATATCATTTTTAAATGAGAATATAATTGTATTCTCCATATAAATTCATATGTTACTTCAATATTAAATATTTCAACAATTATTTATTATCGTATGATTAGAATATTATATCGTTTTGATTAATATATATTCGATTCGTGTTTAATCATTATAGGTGTCTTAAGAAACAATTTTAAAGATTGGTATTATCATTGCCACTCGATATCCTCATACCATTTTTGATATAGAATAAGCCAAACTGACTAAATTACCGGTTATTTTGTATTGATTCCGTTTCTTTCTATCGAACCAAACTATATGATATAATTGCAATGGTTTAGGTCCAAAAATTATATTGAAGATATTGGGCTCGAATTTCTACTTTCCTAGTATTCATTTCTAAGAATAGTATTCTAAATACTTGCAGTCTACTTAGAACTTACATTTTATGAATTAGTAGTTCATAAAACCACACACACACATATTATATATATATATATATATATAATTCCAATAACTCGATTTATATTTTATATTATAATAAGATCTTTTATGTCTTTTTGGTATTTTGAAATTCAAAATGCAATTATATTGATTTTTTCTCTCTTTGTTTGATCAGCTACTCGGGATCATCCTTATACTTCAAACTCATGCAGTATCCGGTGAATGGAATCCTAACCCTCGTCATGTCTAGTCCCTTTTGGCAGTGACATTATCAGAAACTGTGGTACTGTTCTGTATTTTAGACAAAGCTTTCATCCTTTGATTTTAGATATTTTCAAAGACTCGAACTTTGCGTATTTCTCAATGGTTTTGGATGAAATATGATATGAAACTTCTAAATACTGTATTGGATTTCAATGAATTGGAATCCTCCCGACAAATTTGATGTTTGATTCATGTGTTGTTTCCTGTTCTAAAAGTAATACCACTCTTGCTTCTAATTCACCTTTTTGTTTTTTTTCTCTTACGTTCATCCAAAATCTTTCTTTTCTTTCCTAAATTTTTTTTCATAGATTAAACTAAAACAATAATCATTGAAATAGAAATAAGACATACGCTATTTTAATATCATATGCCTCAAATCATGAACCAAGTCCTCTAAATTCACATACAAACACCAATCTCAATGACAATATTTATGCACGTAGACCAAAGTTCTCTCGCACTTGTCCTCTGCCCATATACGTCTATACAAATATATATATATATATATATATATATATATATGTTATATATATATATATTTGTATATGTATATGTAGATATGTGTGTTTGTGTGAATATGGGTTTTAGAGTGTAGGAAGGATCCAGATGTAGCTATGAGTCTGAACACAACCAACTTTTGCAAGCAACTCGTCGACTTCTATTGCGATTACCTGGTTTGTATGGAATCGGCTTCAGCTCTCGCTCATCCATTCTGTGAAGTAACGGAGTGAATATCTCCCATGTGACATGTCCGATCATAATTTGAAAGCCATATATTCTATAAAATCTATCAAAGTTTCCCGAATGTTTCCTAAAACAAATCGACTTCGACTCCCAAACAATAATGTTTCCTTCAGTTCATATCGATAAACGAAATGTTGTTGATACCCTTAGATTCTGCAGAAAGAACGAATCAAACAGTTCATAAATTATATTTGATCGAAAGATTCGAGCGATATTTATCATATAATTTTTTGTTATCGTCCCAAATAAAAATGTGGAATAGTGAAAGACCATAAAGAAAAATATAGACAGTAAGGTGATATAGAACTCAGGTGTCTAGAATTAGACGCTCATATGCCTCGGATACCAACAACTCTAGGGGATTTTTTCTTATATATATACATCTATCATCAATACATCAATACTCAAAAACATTTGTTGGTATCTCTATGGTATACAATTCACTGATGATATTTGAATAACTCTGACAACTTTGTTGGTGTCTGTCTCTATAGTATACGATTCAAGCTTCTTCCTGCCTTACTCTTGGAACCGACACCAAAAGCAATATATACATATATATATATATATGTATATATGGTATCTTTGAGTAATAATCAGTTCATGTTAATTGACTCTTTGAACTTTGCGATTCATATACAGATAAGTACAGGACCTTTTCCTATTATTCATTGGGAATTGATTATACTAAAAAAAATCTTTTTTATATTCTAGGGAAAAAAAAAGATCACGCTGCAATGATAGTAACTGTATTTTTATTAATGGTTTTGATGATGAAGGTGCATGTTAGTATACTTTTATATATATAAGAATTTAAAAAAAATATAGATTCTCCCGTTAATTAAATATTTCATGGTTTACTAAATTTGATATTACCAAAAAAAAATCTGACATATTTAATTAAAACATGATTATATATTTCTTGTTTGGGTGAACATCGTATATTATTTTTTATATATATAGACACATTTAATTAAAAAAATAGATTGGAAAGTATATCACATAATATAATATTATTATAAAAGTTAAAAAGAATGTGAGATAGGATGAAACATAGAATTAATATGTTTAATTAACAACACATATTGGAATATAGATTAATGCATTATTTTTCAAAAAATAAGATGTATTACCCATGTAGACAATACGCCATTGCTTCCATCTTGACTAAAATCAAATTTAATCTCCGAACCTTTTCTCATCTCGTCTTCACTCGTTTGTCTCTGTTTTCTACCCATCATTAATTGGATATGTAGAGGGTGTTAAAAAAACCCAATTAACCCAGTTAGAGTTCTACATGAAGTCTTGTCTTTAACTTGAAACACAACCAACAATATATATATATATATATATATATCTTTTCATACTTCATTGACGGTCTTTTGGCTAAGGGTTTGAGGGAAATTTATGGAGCCTTGCCTCTTCAAACCCTCCTGCACCAGCGTCGACAATGATAGTGGAAGCCATGGCTTGCGTCTCTTCATCACTCCATATGTTCTTCAACAACTCGTCCATGTTCAAAGAGTGTATCGATCATTGTCGGGTCAACAGAGCATTACCCGGCGATCTGTTTATCCCTCCAATTCCGCTGATATCTCCCGGTGGCTCATTAGCGAAGTTGTTGAAATTCAAGTAACCACCCATTTTGCCAAATTCTGTCTAAATCCGACGAATTTAACACAGGCTAACCCGAATTTCAGGTCTTCAAAGAAAGAGCTCTGATATGAAAACGCATGTGAACACAAATTAACGATCTCAACAACCAAAATTTTAAAACCCTGGTTTAAAAGGGCATGAAAACCCCAAAAACCACATCTTGGAAATTAACAGATACAAAATTTTGCAGGAAAGGAAGAAAAATCGGATTTCACCAGCTCAAAGGATCAGTCAATGATGAGAAATCTGAGATAAATAAGTACATTATACCAAATTACGCATACAGAATTCAAACAAAAAATAGAAATACCTAAGAGAGAAAATAGTGTTTCAACCTACCACCCACCATTAAACCTGAGCTTTGAACCAATCCCGCATTTCCTTCGGAACACAAGAGCACATTACCCATTTTATAGCTTATTTTCTTTTAAAAAAAAATTGAAATAACAAACGGTTCAATGAATTTAGAACTCATTTTAAATAAGTTATCACTGCTTTGAAAGAAGAATTTAAACCGTTTCAACGATTTTTGAGCCTCATTAATGATTTTGACAATGAAAATGTATGTTATAGAAAATTTTTATAATATCATTGAATTTAGACAAATAAAGACGAACATGATGAACTGAACATGAACATCAAATAATATTTTAGTTTATTCGGAAAAAAAAATATGAAGTAATATTAAAATGTTACTCTATTACGTACAAACTATATTTTTATAATTAATAATAAATGAATATAAGGTTAATTGAGAAATCTATACAACAGCACATGAATGTACATATTTATTAGGAGTAACAATGGAATTTTAAATATAATATATATATATATATATATATATATATATATATATATATTGAGTTCGTACATTCATGCAGATATTTATACACTAACTCTATACAGACAATTCGTACACAGATTCAATTAACATTTAACTTAAAAGACATTAAAACTAATTATATTTCCTATACATTTAATTTTTTATTACGGGATAAAACACGGAATTCAATAAAGCAATGTGTTAGATTTAAAAAAGAGTTTGGATACGTATCGTCTTCTGTACTAATTCATTAATGCAATGTGTTATTAGATTTTAAAAAAGGGATTGGACACGTGTCATTCCCGTAGAATGAAACTGTACTTTTATATATATGATGATATGATATTTCATCAAATAACGACGATCTTATTTTGGTTTTTGTTTTTTTCTTTTGTCAAATATTTCTAACTTATAAAAACAAATCGTAATAAATACCAATGATATAATTGCCCTTGAACATAATTTATTATTTTTTATAAAAAAACAGAATTTATTATTTCCAACGTGAATACATACCAATACCATAGTACTTTAATTGTAGAATAAATTTCGTATAGAAACTGAGAATGATTTTGTTATCGGGCACTAAGTCCATTGTCGAATCTCTTTACCAAACCCAATATCTAAACATCCCAATAGATTTTGGCATTAGTCGAACAAAATGAGAGACAAAAATCGTTCATTAATTATCCGATATATAGAATAATTATAAAAACTTATTATAGAAATATTAATAATCAAATGAACAAATAAATATCATTAATTTTATATTTCGTGCAAATTTAAAATCCGATTAGATATAAGCCCGGTTTTGTAATGGGCCGTATATGTTGGGCCGTGTACTCAGATTCAGCTTCTAAAACTATCGCAACGGTCACGACCCCGTCTTTGGTCAATTTGTTTGCTAGGGTTTTCATACGCTCAGATTCATGCATATGCATATATGTATATGTGTGTGTATCTGTATATTTGTGTCTTTAATAAATCTTTTGAAAAAAAAAAATATCTTTGGAGGGTTTTTTTTGGGCCAATTCTTCAAAAGTAAGGGAAATTTTTTGCTGCTCTTCCTCGGCGTAATCTGCCATCGCCGGCAAGAGTGAAGTTCATCTCCTTTGTGACGGTGGAAATGGCAGAGGCAGCACAAGGAGCTCTCGCCGCTCGGAGAACGGAGCTCCGGCGATGGAGGCGGCGGTTAAGCTTCACCGCCGGCGAAGTGAACCCACGAGCTCATCGGCGGTTTTGGGTACAGCTTCAAATTGTTTCCAGAATTATCTTTTCTTCACTTCTCTTTCACCGAGTCCCTTTTCCCAGATTTCTACTCGCTTTTCCGGATATTCGATTAGGATTTGTCCAACTAATTTGTAGGGTTTGGCTTGAATTGGAATCTTATTCGGGTTTTATCGTAAAGTTTGCATTTTTCTTATTCATAGTTCTGATTCTTCCACAGTTTCTGTCCATTGGATATATTCCCTTGTGCGATTATCGCAGAAGCATTGTGTTAGTGGTTTAGATTTCTTCAATAAAGAAACAGTTTAGGGGGTAGTGCTGAACATAAAAGCCTGAGTTAGCTTCTGTCATTGTCTCTGGAGAAATTAAAGGTAGTAAGTTTTGTTTTGTTTTTGTGTCTTGACACTTTGATAATGGAGTTAGCACGAGGATCCTCTCTTTGGAAAGAAACTTTAGCAGTGTTTGTTTAATGTCTGTCTTTTGCTAAGGCTTCTGAATTTTGTTTCTTTTGCTCGGTTTGTCTGTGTTCTTGCAAAGTTGAAAGAGCTGAAATCATTTGAGCTTCATCAGTTTATGCCCTTGGTGAGGCTAAATTTACTGGATTGTTGAATGAGTTTTTTATCTTACTTTTTTTTGTGGATTCCGAGAGGGATTTGCCCGGGAGTCTCACATCACACATGCGATGAAATTGTCTGAAGAGTTCTGTTAATATCCCGTTTTTTCGCTATCACGAGTTGCTATGCCCTAACCATTTGCTTTGTATCAGTTCAAGAAGATAACTTAGCCCGAGTATTACCAATAACAAGTAGAAATGCTCGAGGGCTTTGACGAGATGGATGCCTTTGTGGCACGAGGTTGCGGCCTGGTAATGTCAAAGGTTAAGATTAATCTCCTTAAGAATCTTTCTCATGTATCCCGATATTAGCTAGCCAGTTCAGATTTTATCCGCGTAATCTGCAGGACGAACACGAGCGATTGGTTACGAGCGAGAATCAAGCTGTCAGGATATCAAACGCGGCAAACATGTTCCTTTTTATTGCTAAAGTGTATGCTTCCATCACAAGTGGTTCATTGGCCATCATCTCATCCACTATGGACTCTCTTCTCGATATTTTGTCCGGTTTCATCCTATGGATTGCTGCATCTTCTATGCAGACACCAAACCCGTATCAGTATCCAATCGGGAAGAGAAGGATGCAACCACTGGTCAGTTCTCTTTAAACCTCACCTCATGAATGCCCTTTTCTGTTTCCATGATAAACTGGAATCTTTATCCTTATATGTCACATGCATTGTATGGACTAATCAGACACAATGCTGGTTACGTTGGCCAATGTGTTTGCAGTTGTGTAAATGAATCCGACCATACTAACTCTTTCAGGGAATCCTTGTTTTTGCGTCGGTCATGGCGACTCTAGGCCTGCAAATTATCTTGGAATCGGTCCGCACTTTGGTCTCTGCTGTAAGTGGGGAGCTGTGATAGATAATTTTATAGATTAACTTAGATTGATTCGAAGGGTAACACATCGATTTCTTATCTTTATACACAGAAAAATGCCTTTAGGCTTACGAAAGAGCAAGAGAGATGGGTGGTAAGCATAATGTTGACGGTCACTCTGCTGAAGCTTCTTCTACTCGTCTATTGCCGCTCGTTCAAAAACGGGATCGTAAGGGCTTATGCACAAGATCACTTCTTCGATGTCATCACAAACGGCATCGGTCTTACTTCTGCACTCCTCGCTAACCGCACCGGACATTGGATGGACCCACTTGGAGCTATCATTGTGAGCAAGAATACCCTAAATGCTAAATTTCATTAGCCTTTAAACTACAGTAGAGGTCCTCCTCTTTGGCATGTGAAGGATCAGACCCAGATGGGATTTTGCTTTGATATATTTCATTATCAGTGACCCATATTGCAAATGCAGCTTGCTCTGTACACGATCGGAACATGGTCAAAGACGGTTCTTGAGAACGTGAACTCGCTCGTGGGGAAATCGGCGACGGCAGAGTATATGAGGAAGTTGACGTACATGTGCTGGAACCACCACGAGGCGATCAGACAGATTGACACGGTCCGTGCCTACAGCTTTGGGACGCATTACTTTGTCGAGGTCGATATCGTCTTGCCTTCGGACATGCCCTTGCGAGTGGCTCATGACATCGGCGAGTCGCTTCAGAACAAGCTCGAGATGTTGCCTGAGATCGAGAGGGCCTTCCTACACCTTGATTATGACTGCACTCACAAGCCGGAGCATTCTCATTCTGGTTAAATATGCAATGTTTACTGAAATAAATAATACATATATATATATATATATATATATATTTTTTTTTTTGTTGATTATATGTGTGTTTTTTTTTTAAAATTGAACACGTTATTTTTACCATTCCAAGTTTTGGAATACTTGTCGGAATAGCACATCCTCGTTAAAAAACCTACAATGACAATTACCCAAAGAAAAACATAATATATTCTATTGTTTATGTAATTAATTTTATAAAATATTGGTAATAAAATGATATATGTGTTACTATGAAATTTTTTTAATATTTGTTTATCAATATGAAATCAATCATCGGATTTGAGTTGTTTTTTTTTTTTAATGAGATTTGACCTAATTAAGATATTTTTAAACATCCAGTTTAAATTTTAAATCATCCGAACGCATACAGTTTGGGCCAACACTTCAATAAAGCTCAAGTTTCATTATGCAAGCTGCAATATGGGCCGGATTAGTTTGTGGGCCCATGTCCAAATTCTGTACATATGCGCATCATCGATTCTACCTTGAATGGAATGGACATGAAAATGTATATAGGAATTTAATACTATTCTTTCAATAAGTTATTGCTATCGCTTTTTATAATAATCATATAATTGCTGTACTTCAATAAATTACATCATCATTTGACAAAAAATAAAATAAATTATGTCATCATATTAATAAAATATTTTGGTAATGCAAACAGAAATCAGAATGTCACCAATCTTGTTGTGCATCTAATATATACATAGAGAAATAATAAATTCCGTTATCATTTATTTTTTGTAAGGTTATTAATTTCAAATCACGCAACGTTGACATGCATGCATTTGTTGGGAATTTGGACCTTATTAAAATGAAAGTGAATGTGGACGATAATCGAGCCAGGTTCGTTGACAGCCAAACTATTTGTCAACATTTGTCGAGCATTGCTATAATTTTATAGTTAATGTTAAATTTTAATTTTACTGTATAGTTTTTGTTTTGGTATAGTACATACTTATATTTGATGGTAATACTGTAAATAAATAAAAAAATAAATATATTTTTCGAATTCGTACTCGAACTTGATTTATGGTAATCTCATCATAAAACGAAATCCCAAGTAATATCCGAATAAGAGTATCCCCATCCCTAATCATATTTATTTTTCATTAGCGTGGATTTATATAATACGATTTGCTATAATAAATATAAGAAACAAACTCCAAGTCGGCGGGTACAACGAGGAATTTCCGACTCTTTAAGTGTATTCAATAATCTGAAATTTTATAAAATTATAGTTTTGTAATTATTATTTTTTAATATAGGATCTTGACGGTCCAAAACATCACATAAAAAAGACGTTTGAAAATTTTTATATTCCTTTAACTATTTCAGATATTTTAGAGATTCCCAAATCCAAATCGACCACTAGAGGTAGCCAATTGGAGACAACGATCGGGACCCACAGGCTTCGCGGCCTTTGTCGTTTTATTTAGAATAAGACGTGATACGACACAACACTCCAATCCCTCTGTACATTTTTTTCCTCACGTTGACGGTTTCTAATTTCTAACGCGCGCCTACGGTGAGCACGGAATGTCGTACGCATCCCCAAGCGCGAGAGACTTGACGTCACTCGCCGCCGGATTCTCGCCGTCTTCTTCTCCGGCGACTCCGAAGGTGGCGAGTCAGACCCGACCCGTCAAGGTCATCCCTCTTCAGCACCCCGATTCTACATCGGTTCGAGCCCGTTCGCCGACGATTCCCTTCGATGATCTCTTCTCCGGCGTGTCAGCGAAGATCAAGAACATGAGGCTCGTCGATTGGATGGATCTGATCTTCCCGTGTAGCCGTTGGATTCGAACTTACCGATGGCGCGAGTATTTCAAGCTCGATCTCATGGCTGGGATCACCGTCGGTGTAATGCTCGTTCCGCAGGTAATCTTAACCTCTGCCTCAGTTGATTGTATCGTGCCCGATATTTATTTTTTCTTTAGATTGTTTATCTGTATTCTGATGAGATTTTCATGGGGTTGAGTTTTCTCGGGAAACAAACAGAATTTTCCGGGTTTCAAAATCCTTTGCGCGGAGAAACAGAGGCTTTCCAGACGATTGTCTTCGAACTATTTAATGGGCAGAATCGTTTTCTTATCCTTTCCAATTTCTTGGACATACAAGGGATTTTGGTCGCTCATTGGTTTTTTACTGGGCCAAGGTCAAAGCTTTAAATAGTTTAAGAAATCATTGATCGATGTCTTCAAGTAAAATTCTCATCTTTCATGTTTCTGTAGTTTATGGGGTAATTGTTTTTTGGCTCATGTTCCTCATGGAGAATGAGTCGATGGTTTTGTTGTTCATTAGATGGGAATATAATAGAATTTTGTCGAATAACTTTTGATGGATTTGGCCAGGCAATGTCGTATGCCAAACTAGCTGGGCTTCAGCCAATATACGGCTTATGTGAGTTTTAGTTACTTGAGACACAAACTTCCCTGAATCCTTGCATTGACATAGAGTCCTGAATCTTGTCTGATTATGTCATCTTTGGAACTGCTGAGTTGCAGATTCTTCGTTTGTGCCAGTCTTTGTGTATGCCATTTTCGGCTCATCTCGTCAGCTTGCAATCGGCCCTGTAGCTTTGGTTTCTCTACTTGTCTCGAATGCTTTGGGCGGAATCGTTGATCCTTCCGAGGAGTTATACACCGAACTTGCAATTTTATTAGCTCTTCTTGTTGGAATCTTGGAATGCATAATGGGTCTCTTAAGGTATAACATAAGATGTTAAATGATCATTTTCATCCAAGTCCTTTTACTTATATGTGTAGTGAAAGAGACAACTGTTCATCTGTGTTTTGATCTCAGGCTTGGATGGCTTATTCGTTTCATCAGCCACTCTGTCATTTCTGGATTTACATCTGCTTCTGCCATTGTGATTGGATTATCTCAAGTAAAATATTTCTTGGGTTATAACATTGCCCGGGACAGCAAGATCGTGCCGATAGTAGAGAGCATAATTGCTGGCGCAGATAAGGTGAAACTTCCATTTCCCGTGTTTAACCGATGGAAAAAACAGGATAACTTTCCGTGGCTATGATCTTTAACTGGGATCTATAAGTTTTGACCAAGATTTTTCACCTTTCTATATGATAAATTGGTCTATATTATTGATCAAATCCAGTATCGTTGACACTTGCCCTGAAGTTTGGTAAACAACCATAAAAGCTGCATTTGTGGCAATAATTGCTTCTAATTTTTCTTGCTTTCTGCAATGCTCTTGCCAGGCTATAGCGTTCTGTACACATTTTTCTAAGATGATTTGCTAGCATATTGTTGTTGAAGTTAAACTTGATTTTGGTTGGGTTAATTGATCAAATTTATTCTGGGCCAGCGCTAAGAACTACGAGAGGATTCTCTTGTTTTCCTCTTATATTTTTTCGCCACTTATGCAGTTCCAATGGCCTCCTTTCCTGATGGGATCTGCCATTCTTGTGATCCTTCAAGTGATGAAGCATGTGGTATGGCCTTGTTTTTACAGTGTTAGTTGGAAAGTTTGTGCTTCTCTGATTTTATTATTGCTGAGGTTACGAGTGTCACCGTCACAGGGAAAAGCAAACAAGGAACTTCAATTCTTACGAGCGGCAGGCCCTCTTACGGGTGTTGTGCTTGGTACAACCATTGCAAAAATATTCCACCCACCTTCCATAACTCTGGTATAATTACTGGAGGCAAACCTTTGTTATGGTTATTTTTATTTTCCTGTGACTTTGTATACTGGAGCTGCATTAGCTGAGAAGGGTTTCTTTTCACGATAGCGGCTAATTTTGAGGTTGTTTCAGGTGGGAGATATCCCACAGGGCCTACCGAAGTTTTCCCTCCCGAAGGATTTTAGTCATGTGAAAACTTTACTTCCAACGACCGCTCTCCTTACCGGTGTTGCCATCTTGGTAAGGAGCAATAATCATAGACTTCATCCATGATATCATGGTTTGCTGTTTTCACTTAATCTATATCATATATCTTTGACTTCAGGAATCTGTGGGTATCGCCAAAGCTCTAGCAGCAAAGAACAGATATGAGTTGGATTCAAATTCAGAGGTAGTTTGCCGAAATAAGATGCTAATCCTCTTTTCCGACATTACATAGGATTGTACTGCTTTTTCAGAGCTTTAATATCGTTTTCTCTTACAACTTGGCAGTTGTTTGGTCTCGGTGTTGCAAATATATTTGGTTCGTTGTTTTTCGCTTATCCGGCTACAGGTAAGGCTCTCTTGACATGTTTAAAATTCATATAAAGATGTTATTTTATCTTAAACATGGATTTGATTGATCTTGGTATTTGTCTTGAATGCATCATTTAGGGTCTTTCTCCAGGTCAGCTGTGAACAATGAAAGTGAAGCTAAGTCTGGTCTCTCAGGCATTATAACTGGAATCATCATCGGGTGTTCCCTTCTATTCCTGACGCCGGTTTTCAAATACATACCACAGGTCTGTTTAATAAATACGCATTCCATATTTTTTCGATATTTTCTTCTAACAGGTTTTATAACAATCTGGAACATTTGTGGTATATGAAAAGGGAGTTTTGCTTCGGATCTGAGTGTGACTACTGCCTATTCTTTGTCAAATTTACAGTGTGCTTTAGCCGCAATAGTGATCTCAGCCGTCAGTGGCTTGGTAAGTTCAAGTAAACACCCATTCCTTTATTGTTGTTTGTTGGTGATTGAGTAGAAAATTCATGTAAGCTTTCTGGATATATGCTATTGCTATTGTAGGTGGATTACGAGGAAGCTATTTTCCTTTGGCGTGTGGACAAGCGAGATTTTACTCTTTGGACGATCACTAGCACAGTAACTTTGTTCTTTGGGATTGAGATCGGGGTCCTTGTTGGTGTAAGTACTTAGAAACTTAAGAGTTTGATGTTCAGATTCATCTGACCGATGTTTCTGCCAATAATTCTAGCTCCCTAACCATCCGTTTTGGTAAAAAGGAAAAGAAAAGAAAGCTATAGAAACATCTATATGATTCTGCAATGCCCTTCAAAGGAATTTATGTAATTGCAATGCTTTGAAATTTTGTAGGTTGGCTTTTCACTCGCATTTGTCATCCATGAATCTGCAAACCCTCATATCGGTAAGCGGGTTGCTCGGTAGAATCTGTATGTATTTCATTCGTAGTTAAGGGGTTTGGACTCTCTGTTCAATTCATCGTCTTGATTATGTTCTTTCATACATGTTGGCAGCTGTCTTGGGGCGCCTTCCAGGCACCACGGTGTATAGAAACACCAAACAATATCCCGAGGCATATACCTACAACGGGATTGTGATCGTCAGAGTCGATGCCCCCATCTACTTTGCAAACATAAGCTATATCAAGGACAGGTGACAGATTTTATCCAGATACTTTCCCCTTCTTCTGCCTATGTATCATCCACATTGAAAATAACATACCGGGTTGCAGGCTAAGGGAGTATGAAGTGGCTGTAGACCGATGCAGCACAAAACGAGGACCAGAGGTGGAGAGAATCTATTTCGTCGTCCTGGAACTGTCTCGTAAGCTCCAGACCTGTTCTGTCTCGTCTGATCCGGGCGGTAATGGATAGAAAGAAACTTAATCTTCTCGGCCCTTGTTGCAGCTGTCACACACATAGACTCGAGCGCTGTGGAGGCGTTGAAGGACTTGTATCAAGAGTACAAAACAAGGGACATTCAGCTAGCGATTTCCAACCCGAACAAGGACGTTCACCTGACGCTGGCGAGGTCGGGAATGGTGGAGCTTATCGGCAAAGAATGGTACTTTGTGAGAGTACACGATGCCGTACATGTCTGTCTTCAGCATGTGCAGAGCTTGAACCAGAATCCCCGGAACTTTGAAGACGTAAAATCGACGTTCTCGAGAAGATTTTGGAGCAAAACGCCCGAGAGTGGCGATGTCGAATCAGGAAACGTCAAGGCATCGGACTCAGCCCCTCAACTGAAGCAGCCATTGCTGCTTCCTCAGAGCAGCAAGCCGTGTGAGTAATTTAGTCTGGGTATAGGATTTGGGTCTGTAATATAGTCACTTCCAATGCGTTTTTTCTTTGTAAAATTTAATTTAATGGCAGCCATTGTTATGAATAAAATACACCACGTGGGAAATTCTCTCTTCAAGACAACACATCTGTTAGTTACAAGAGTACGGGAAAAGACATGTGGAAAACATGGGATTTGAGTGTTTCTTACATTGATTAAAGCGATGGCCATGAATATAATAAAATAACATTCACAGTTAATTACTCTTGTGTTCTTTCAATTGGAACCAAAGACGTTATATTATCGTCATCGAGAATCTTATGCTGAGTCTCTAACTCTCTCATCCAACCAGCTGACAATGTCGGAGAAGACGATCTGAGTATTCTCCGGCGGTTCTCCGTACAGGAGGCCGTGCCACATTCCTGGGTATAGCTTCAACGTCTTGTCGGAGCTCTGAGCAACCTCGTGCAGTTGTTGGCTCGCCCCCTTGTCCGTGACGACGTCATCGCCACCGTGCAGCACCAGGAACGGTATCGTCACCTGACTCAAACCGTCAATGTTCCAAGCCATACGGTCATGATTCAAATCAATGTATTGTCCATGGATGGAAATGAAGAAGAATTAAGATTACCTCGTTAAGTCTCTTCTCAAGGTCCATGCTGACTCTCAAGAGCTCATAACCAGTCTTTAAACGAGGACGGCCCTTGTAGCAGTACGGGTTCTCTCTCACCTGTTATATCAAATCCATAAAGATTATAAGATTTTAAATTTGAAAAAAATGATTGGGTAAATTGATTTTATTTAAATCACTGTAATTTGAATCGAATAAAAAAATTCGAAAACAATTTAATGAAAACAAATCTCTTTAGAAAATGATTAAACCAAATCAAAACAAAAATCTAAATGAACTGAAAATGCAACTTATGTATATCTATTAAAATAAAAATTATGAAATAAAAAAAAAAACGAACCAAAATCCAAAAAATGTCCGAACCAACTATACATAAATATTACCTGAGATCTTACTTCGGCTACTTTGAAAGCAGAATCGATGACATCTTTTGTCGGAACTATTTTCCATTTTGGAACAACCTTCATGAGTTTGGTGAGAACAGAGATCATTAACGGATGAGGTCTCAAATCTTCGGCTATCTGAAACCAAAAAAAAATATATATATATTGTCCAACAATCTATAAAAAAAACAAAAATATCAAACAATAACATTTTTTTATATTATTATCAAAAACTATAACAACGCTCAGCAATGTAAATGATCTTATCTAACAGGAAAATATAATTTTATAATTAAATTAGGAATTAGATTGTTTTATTAGGGTTTATCTACAAAATAAAGACATTTTTATATATGATTTTATCTATTACGCATTAAATTTAATTAGTCACAATCACTACAAATTATCTTGAAATATATATATATATATACTGCAAAATCATTTGCTCGAGATCATGCCAAAAATCAATGTTTTAATAGTAAGTAGTTTCCGTTTACTATAAAAAATAATTTACACATGCGTATATATATGCACGTTGGCGTCATGTGGGTTGGATCCGATTCAGTTGGTAGAACAATTCAAAGACACTCTAATAGTGGTTTCCATGTCCGAGGATCTTGGTCACTGTTCGAGACCAGTTCAATTAATATTATGTAATTCTATATTCGAGAAGACCGGTCCAAGATCCTAATATTTTGTTCTCGATTGCTGTCTCACAATTCCAAGATTATAGTCAGACCAAATATTTGGATATATATCGGGGTTACAAAAGAAATATATACAAGCATATATGTACCTTACACATGGGAGCAACCAAGACAGCACCATCCCAAAAACCAGGTTTCTTTCTGTGCAAGAGAAGAACCACGGCTCCTCCCATCGATTCTCCTAACAAAAATCTCTTTTTCCCCGCGTTCTCATCCTTCTCTGAAACGAAAATCGATGGTTTTTCAACCGATATTTTATGTAAAGTTTGTAACTTTTCATGGACATGAACATAAGAAAACGGTGTGTGTGTGTGTAGAAACCCTTCTTCCCCCTCTAACCCACATGCCCTAACACTTAATCTACCAATGTAGGTCGGCATTTTGAAGGAAACGAAGGAAAAAATATGTACCGCAGATGCTCGTATAGTGACTAGAAACGTCGTCGATAAGATCGTCAAAGCTTGAGATAAAACCCTGTAACCCATCTGACTTCCCATGCCCTCCATAGTCCATCCCGTAGACAGCAAACCCTGCCTTGGCTAGCCTCATCGCCGTGCCTGTTCATTCATCAACTCAATATACGAGTTTATGTATGTATCTAATGATATATACATGCATATGCATATATATGTCTGTGTGTGTATACTAACTGTTCATTGTGATGCTGCACTCCATGGCATAACCATGGCATAAAAAGATCAAAGCCTTTGGTTCGATATTCATCTGTCTCCATCTACATGTGAAGAACTTCACTCCTTTCGCATTCGATATAAACTCCTGCAGAGAAAATTTATATAAATATATACCATACAAACAATATCAATCGATCAGACGCTCGACATAAAAAAAACTCATACGAATTCAAGCCTATAAAAATCGGTACCGGGATCTAATTTTGGATCGGGTTATATACAATTACCTCTTCGTATACGATGTTTTCTGTTTCTTGAGCCTGAAAGAGGACGTTGAGAACAAAGATTTAAACTAAAATGGTGCGTCGACATGAAACGCAAGAGGAAACAAAAATCAAAACCCATGAACTCAAACAATTTAAACAAATTGCAGCAGCGTTAGAGAATAACCATGAGATCGATCTTCTTGTTCGAGGAACGTTTTCAGAGAGAAGATTGAGAGATAGAGAAGATTCGATTAATTTGGCTAATGAGGAGATGGTGACATTTTTTTTTGAGATTTTATTGGGATTTTATGGCCACCTCACACGATGATTATTTTAAGTATTTTTTTTATAATAGAAAAAATTAAACGTGGAAACTTAAAAAAATAGTTGACCAAGATCTGTATGTATGTATATTTATATGAAAACAGATGGATACATGTATATGCCACTGCATAAATTTAAGTGTATAGTCTAAATATAAATGGAATTAAGATAAAAGTTTCGTTGTGTAGGTGGATATATATATATATATATATATATATATAAAGTTTAGTGTATATGTGTGTGTGCTTATATATATATATATATTAAGGTTGAGTTTTTATCTATTTTGGTTTAATTTTTATTATTGGGTTGCAAGCAGGTTTTCGAAATTCGTCCTATTATCAAATGGGACAAGGGCAAAGCACTGGAGTTCTTGTTGGAGTCACTTGGTAACCCTACC